AAAACACACTGGGAAAGGGCGAAGGCTAAGAATTACCAGCAATCTAGGAGACTAAGATGTGGGAGAAAAGACTGAAGGAAAAAACCCACCGCATACGGGATGCTTCAAATCCTTCCTGGATTAAGATAGTATATACGTAACTGAGTAACTGACACTAACGCCTTCTAAGTGGCAGGCACTGTGCTAAATGCTAACACATCATCTCATTTAATCCTCACCACCATCTCTTAAGGGAGGCACTTTAGTTCCCATTTCACAGATGAGGAAACTGAGGTGATGAGGGCCATGCCCGGTGTCAGGCAGCTAGGAAGAGAGACACCTGGACTTCAAACCCAGGCTGGCTCCCTCTGTGTTGACACTACGGCTGGAATTCTTTTCTTTTCTTTTTGTAATTGAGGGAGTTTTTACATAGAGTAAAATGCATTGTATCTTAAGGTACAGTTTGATGGGTTAAAAAATGAAACATACTCCAGTCATTATACAGAAAACTTCTACCCCTCCCAGTTCTCCTGCATCCCTTTTCCAGTCAATCCCCACCATTCCCAAAGGCAACGAATGTTCTCATTCCTACACCTGGAGCAGGGTTATTCTCGGCACCAGTAGGTACATTGTGCTTCTGGGGCCACTCCCTCCTGATGTCCTCCTCCTGGGAAGCCACCCCAACGGCTTCCCTGTGGTCCCTCTTCTGTGCCTGGCCCTGACCAGAAAGACCCAGAAGCCCTGCTTACGGCTTTAAGCCCAAACTAGTCAGCCCTCACTTCTAGGCTGGTTACCTTGGCAAATCACTGAGGAGAAAACAGCATTTGAAATTTTCAAGGAGGCGGCAAGAAGCCCTACAAACTGAATTTAGCCGAGGGCCCAGAGTGGACGGGGCATGATGAGCTGGCATTTCTCAAAGGAACGTCCAACAAGCTTTCCTGATTTACAAGCAAGTGAAAAAGCGTCAGGAATTCCAAAGTTCAGGGAAGAAAGAGAAACAATCCCCGGGCTTTTGTTCTCCCTCTGCCTGGGTGTGAAAGCTGAATGAAAATGCTGGGGATACTGCTGATTTTTTTCATCAACAGGCTTGGGCTTGGGTAAGGACAGGTTGAGGTTTCACTGGCCACCGCACCAATAGAATCCAGTAATTTTGGGGCGGGGTGGGAGTGGGGTCTAAGGGAATGGGGAATAGTTGCCAGAACTCAACCATACCACCAGACAACCCAAGATAACTCTCCGTTGTCAGCGTTCTGGGAGAAGGGCTGCCAAAGCCAACTGACGTGTCCTTTAGAATCCAATCAAACACAGGATTGGTACGACTGGTAGTGCTTTTGAAAAAACCCCATTAGAACGGAAGTGTCTCTCCCACAGCCCGATTCCACACAACTCATTAAAACAAAAGGAGCAATGTTCTTGGGGAATGTCTTAAAACAGATCTTTTTAGGTAAGTCTACTTAAATCACTTTCTGAATATGCCAAAGCTAACTCCTCCTCCCCCTCCTGCGGGGGCCACAAAGGAAGCCAATTCTCTTTAGCTATAGGGTTTATTATGCTCAAGCCTGACACTTAGCTGCAGGTGAGCATAAGGGACTGATCCACAGAGAACCCTAGGGTGTTTTCTTTTCCTGCAAGAGTCTAAGAATCAAGTGCCACTGATACCAAGTTCCCGCATCTCCCCTGCCGTTTCTGAGTTAAAAACAGAGTACATGCAGCAGGAGGAGCCCACACCCACAGGTGGCGGGCCAGCAGTCAGACAGGCCCTGCAGGGTTCAGCGACGAGAAAGGATGTGGTCACACATTCTAGCAAACAAGTAGAACTTCCACCAAGACCCTGCTGGAGGGGCATGCTCCGAGTCAGTCCCACGGCATTCCGACTCCGTGCCGCTCCTCACACAGTGACTTTCAACCCCGCTCATGAGAAGCGACTTAACCAACGGCACATGCTATGGGGCCACTGAACATAGAAGATGAAATGAAAGAGAGCCTAGAAACACAGGCGTCCCAACCAAGAGTGAAACCTTAGTCACTCACAGATGCTCCCGACCCACCCCGGACACTTCCTGTAACCAGACACTGTTCGTTACAGTTCCCTGCTCCCTAAAGACATGTTTTTTAAAATTTCATCGCTTAAATCACATGAGGTGGTTTGAAGTTCATTGCACCATCTATCTCAAGTATTTGGTAGTCCTTCAATTCCCTATTTTCTTCATCAAACAAGCTGCCAACCTTGCACTGTCCTGGAGTTCTTCTTACCCCAACTAATGGCGGCAAAAAGGCACTTGATACTGAGATGCCAAGAACCCTCCCATAGCAACCTCAGGCTCCATCTCTACGACCTTAAACCAAACCTGAAGAAGCACTGTTTCTGTCCTTTGTCCGTGGAGACCACTTACATTTGCAACATGATTTGGTTCAAAAAGATGCCATCCACTAAATCCATGTACATAGTCAGGTTGTCCTGGTTGCTGCTTCCAAATGGGCCCAACGTTTTCACCTGCGAGGAGGGGGATGTGGAGAGAAAAGGCAGGAAAAGTCACCCCACACGCGCCCGTTTGAAGCTCTTCAGGGCAAAGGCGGGGAGGGCCCGGGTGGGCTGAAGGGGTCACCGCCCCCCACCACCACCCACGCTTCGGTAGGCACCAAGCCCACCTTTCCCCAGGGCCTGTCTCCTTGCCCCGCTCCAGGCAACAGCCGCGAGGCTGCAGGAGGAAAACTTCCTCGCTACTTTTCTCCAGCGTCCCAGAGCAGGGGGGAAACAAAAAAATAAAAGGGACTTTTCAACCAATTTCTCACGTCTCAGAGCTACTGGAAATCGCTGCACCCACCCCAGCCTGTACACATGTTCCCACTCGGAGACACCCCTCCCCCACCCCCACCCGTCACCGCCATTCACCGGCTGGTCTCGGGTTCAAACACTACACGAGGATATGCTGGGGAAGTGAGTCCTTTTCCCGAGTGGTAAAGCCACAGAGGCCGGGGGGACCTCTCGGACCCCGTCCGCTCCTGCACCGGCAGCCCAGTGCCCCGGCGGGAACAGGTGTACCCACTCTCAGGGCAGGCAGCGCTACGGGGTCCTGCAGCGGGCGCGCCG